CGGAACTCTACGAGCGTTTTTCCGCGGTCGGATTTCTCTGGCATGGGCTCTACTGCGAGGAGGGAGAGGGAGGTGGGGGGCAGGGAGAGGGGGGGGGAGAGGAGGAGGGGGGGGGGGGGCGGGGGGGGAGGGGTACCGGGGGGGCGGCATGGAGGGGGAGAGGAAGATCAAGGGCTAGAGAGGGCAAGGGACTGGGCCCTGGCATACCAGGGGGGGCAGGGTGGTGGGCGGCGACCCCCCCATACCGTCCTACGGGGGGGATTATCCCTACCCCCGGGAAAACAAGGGCGTCCAAATGCAGCTGCTGCTGTTCGAATCGTTCGGCGGGTTCGGAAAGGGGGTCCGTGAGATCCTCCGGAGAGCGGCGGACGTGCTACAGAACAAGCTGACGCGGGCCCAGTACCTCGATGAGGTGACTTGGACCACCAAGAGCTGGCTGGGGCTGCAGAAGCAGCGCATCTCAGTCGTTCTTCACACGGCCATCGATCGCAGAGCAGGTCGTGAATGAGCTTGCCTGTGGCGGGGGTGGGCGGGTGCACGGAGCTAAGTGCCTCGCCACCCTCGCAGGAGTCGCTTAGGCGGCTCCCGTGGTGTACCTGTGTTAGTGCCAGTGCGCGCCAGTCCCGTGCCCAGTGTCGTGCGAGGTACGGTTGTAAATTTTCTCTTTTCCTCGATTCGCTATAACGATCGCCCGATTCATCGCGTGGAATCCCTCCCAAGAGGCCGCCGCGGAAGCGGAAGGCCTGGCAAGCGCGTGCTCCATTCGCTTCGTTCAGTATGCTCGCTGCCATCGTCGCCGCGTCGCTCTCCCTCCTGCTCCGCCCTTCGATTCACATCTCTCGCCCGAACGGAGCCGCCGCCGCTGCCAACGTGGCGCCCTGCCTTGCTGTTGCCTCCGCGCCCAGCCGTGCCACCGCTCTGCTGATGGCTGGCCCTCGGAAGACTCAGCCAAAATCCGCCAAAAAGGCCAAGGCCAAGCCTGCCCCGCCTTCCCCGCCGCCTCAGTGGAAGCAGGACGTCGACGCCAAGATTGAGGCAAAGAAGGCAGAGATCGCTGGCAGCGTTGCGGCGGCAAAGGCGGAGGCGGCGCGGCTCGCGGCGCTTCCGGGCCAGAAGGCTGAGGAGGCGCAGCAGGCGGCGGCGGCGGCGCAGGCGGCGGCGGAGGCAAAGGTCGAGGCGGCAAAGCAGGCGGCGACCGAGGCGCAGGAGGAGGCGGCGCGGCTGGCGGCGCTGCCGGGGCAGACGTTCGCGGCCGCCGAGCTGGCGCTGAGCCGTCCGCTCAAGATATTGAGCCTGGAGGAGGAGGAGGCGGAGCTGCGCCTTCAGCTCGAGGCGAGCGCCCGAGCAGTGCCCCCCCCCCCCCCCGCCCCCCCCCCCGCGCGCCCACTCGAACCAAGTTGCCGCTTAGATAAGCT